GGGGCGGGCGGCGGTGAGGGCGGCGGAGGGTAGGAGGTGCAAACGGCATCAAACAGCTGGCACGCTGTAGTCCCTGACAGAGGCTTGCAGCATGGCGCAATCCCGGCGCAGCCTGGAAAGTTGGGATGGATTTCGTCAACCTCCTTCTTGTATGAACCGCTTTTGCATGCATCGGTGCCTTCCTCGTACGCCTCGCCAGTATAGCCGCCTCCCGGCATCCACTTCGCCAGGCAATTCTCGGGCGCGTTCGAGGCGAGGCAGTAGTCGGGGTGCTGCGCGCTGAAAAGGTAGAAACGCCCGTGGTCGAGGCTACCAGCCGACACGGCTTTCATCAGATTCTTCGCATCAGACTTGGCTGCGCTGTTCCGAGCTCAACGCTTCGCGCGCACGCGAGCAGAGTGAGCGGGAGAGTCAGGCCAGGTTCTTGGGCTTCATGGGCGTCCCCAAGTGATTAGCTCATAGCACTGCTGGCATGACACGCATAGTGGGTGGGTGCGAGCCAGGTGCGAGCGGCATGGTGGGCTCCGGAATGGGTACCGTGCGGGTGCGGACGGAAGAGAGAGTGCATGTACGAGAGCTAGCATGCGCATGCTCCGCAGGGGCAGGTGAGTACTGGTCAAAACAACCATTTGCACACTTGTTTGCAACAAAATGCGTTGCAAATGCGACATTTTATGGATCTGGAGTGACACTATGGATTTCGGGTGACACAGGTTTATCTAGATATCTAGCATAGAGGCGGCCCAAGTGTCACTAACGTTACAAAACCTTGATTGCGCAAAAAGGTACATCTCGGTGCCTTCCAGAGGCAGCTGCGACCCCACTCAGGTAAAAAACGGAACCAAAAGAATAAAGAAAAATTAATCAAGGCCATAGCGTTAGGTTAGGAGAAAAAAGAATGAGAAACAGCTGCCTCTGCGCGTCCTGGGTATGTACCTTTGTCGCGCGCCGGAGACGACTCGACGCCGCTGAGATCGGAGATCAAGCTCTGACAGGTCGCACGTCGCTCCTTTGACGCCGACGTGACTCACCCGTGCAGATCACATCAGGACACGGTCTCGACACGCTCGGTACGACGCCTGCGACCCGTCTTGGGTCAGGTGGCACGACGCTCATCGCGCCTACCAGCGCTGCCGTGCAGGTTGCCACGACGAGGTCGAGCACGCTTCTATACGCTCGCCCAGCCTTCCTTTCCATCCCGTTAGGCAGCCTGGGAACGGTGGCGGTCAGAGGCAAAGCCTGCGAGGGGTGGTGGAACCACATGTCACGGCTACCGCCGGCTCGACCCCACGATAGCCTCCGGAGGCTGACTTTGAGGCACAATCATCGGACGACGTCGGCGAGTTGAGTCGCGCTCGCGGTAGCCAGATGACCTCTCATACTAGTATCATCGGCCATGGCCGCAGGAAGCGCGGGGGAGGGCGCTGGGAGCAACACGGAGCTCCGTTGGACGCGTGTTCAAGATTAGCGTGTCACGTGTCAGAGAGTGAATTGGAACTGCCTAGATAGTAAAATCGCAACCTGTTACACGCCTTACCCAAGAGCGCCAACCACTCTTTGGAGCGCCGCCACCAGGGTATGTTGAATGTTCGCACCCTCCCCCCGCGGTCGAGGTCATGATGTTAGAGTCGAGAGTGGACAGAAGGGCTGAGCCGTCTGCCACGCACCCCCGACTGCGAGAGCTGGGCGTGTGCGCTCCCGCCCCGCGACCCGGACCCGCTCCCAGTCACAGATCTAACGTGGCCGCTCGGACCGACCTCTACGGGGGCGGGCTTCTTGGTGAGTCAGGCGGGTGCCCGTCGAGACTCCTGCCCTCCTCCCACGCCTTCACCCGCGCCGCCGCCTGCGCCGCCGTGATCTGCAGGTAGTTGTACACCACGAAGAAGATGAGCGTGATCACGTAGCCGCACGCCTGCGTATGTGTGTAGGAAGGTGAAGAACAGCCAGGCTCGGACTGGACACCAGCGCGGTATGGGTGGACGCGAGACAGATGATGACGGCACGCTCGAGCGACACACAGACACAAACAAGCTCACTAGACACGCCTGCAGCGACGGCGGATGCAGCGAGGGCGGTAGCGCGGAGGGCGGTGGCAGTGAGGGCGGAGGCGGCGAGGGCGGCAGCGAGGGCGGAGGTGTAGAGCGCAGGGGGCGTGGGGCCGTCACAGCCTCGCTGGGGGAAGGGAGACGGGGCGTATCTCACGGACCCTCTAGCGCGCCGGGGAGCTCTCGGGGACTCTCGGAGATTCGCGCCTGGATCGGGCTGATGACCTCGCCGAAGAGCACGACGCCGCTCACGACGACGCCCGCGTTGCGCGAGATGGAGAGCAGCTTCAGCATCACCACGTTTGTGCGCTGGATGACCAGGAAAGAGGAGAGGTTGATCAGGCACCCCAGCAGGCAGGTCAGGCCGATGCCGACCCAGAAGGGCTCGATGGGCGGGTTGCGGATGTCCCCGGGCTTGAAGCGGGGCAGCTCGATGGTGGCGGCGGCGGCCGCGGTGAAGACGAACGTGGCGGGCGAGATGTACAGCAGCGCCTCCACCACGTGCATCTTGTATTGGCCGAGCAGCTTTTGGGTCAGGATCAGGCGCGTCGCCTCAAAGTACATCGACGAGAAGAAGATGAGAAGGCCGACGGGAGACGCGTGCACCTCGCCCGCAGAGGCGATGGTCGTGCCGACGCAGCTGGCGAGGACCGCAAGGACGGGCTTACGCTCCGGGTACCCGATCCCGAAGAAGCCCTGCATCATCATCGTCACGAGCGGCGCGTACCCCTTGAGGATCTCGATAAAGGAGACGGAAAGGTAGAGGTACGCGCTGTTGCCGGCGCAGAGGCAGGTGGCGGCGGCGAAGCCGACGACGACTGACGCGCGTATAAGCGTGCCGTCGAACTCTCTCCTCGGCATCTCCCACTCGATGCAGCGCATGCGGGAGAGCAGCGCGGCGGCGACCGCAAAGACGACGGTGGCGGCCTGCGTGAGGCTAGTGAGCACGATGGGGTATGGGAATCCGGAGGTGAGGAGGTACTTGTTGTTCAGGATCAGCAGCGGCCCGACCAGCGTGTACAGCACGCACACACCCACGGTGATGGTGATGTCGACCACGCTGCCACAGCGCCAGCTCTGCTCCTGCGCCATCGAAGCTGGCGGGACGCTGACATCCTCGCCGCTTGCGTCGGCCTTGCGCAGTGGCTGCACCTCCTCCATGTGGCTATTGCGCATGCGTGCGCCACCTCCACCATGTGGGCGCTTGCGGGCTTCCTAAGTTCGAGCTCTCAAAAACAAAGTGTTAATGGTTCGATCCTCCCCAGAGTCGAACTGGCAGCCACTCGCACCGAGGAGGCGAGGTGTGGCTACGTGACCCGAAAAGGCCAGAGTCAGGAGCAACCCTCGAGCTGGGTCGCTCATATACTCAACACGCCCCCACGACGCAGCACGAGGTTGCTGCTGTATCTCCGATACCGCCGTGTTTCGAGGTAGGGCAGGCGTTCCGGGACGCGAGTTCCCCCGGGTTACCTTGGGCACTATTTTCGATCTTTTTCGTAGCGCACACACGAAGGGACTCAAATCTTCGCAGACCGCCGTCGACCTGGGAGATCTCACCGGAGGTACCATGTTAATGGTTCGATCCTCCCCAGAGTCGAACTGGCAGCCACTCGCACCGAGGAGGCGAGGTGTGGCTACGTGACCCGAAAAGGCCAGAGTCAGGAGCAACCCTCGAGCTGGGTCGCTCATATACTCAACACGCCCCCACGACGCAGCACGAGGTTGCTGCTGTATCTCCGATACCGCCGTGTTTCGAGGTAGGGCAGGCGTTCCGGGACGCGAGTTCCCCCGGGTTACCTTGGGCACTATTTTCGATATTTTTCGTAGCGCACACACGAAGGGACTCAAATCTTCGCAGACCGCCGTCGACCTGGGAGATCTCACCGGAGGTACCATGTTAATGGTTCGATCCTCCCCAGAGTCGAACTGGCAGCCACTCGCACCGAGGAGGCGAGGTGTGGCTACGTGACCCGAAAAGCCCAGAGTCAGGAGCAACCCTCGAGCTGGGTCGCTCATATACTCAACACAAAGTTCTTGCCCTCCGGATGGCGGCGTGCCGTCGTGTTCTCGAGGTTCTCGAGGTGGATATCCTTTGGCCGCGTTGGGTAGCGAGGATTGGTGTAACCCGAGCCACGGAGGCGTGTTTTCTGACGGCCGACCGTCAGTGCACGGAGTTGCCCCTTCTTTCTCCGACTGCCCCGGCTAGTTCCCGAGGGAGGTCGTCGGGTGTGACCCCTGCGTCCCCCGAGACCTAGCGCGTCGTGTGTGTGTGTGTGTGTGTGTGTGTGTGTGTGTGTGTGTGGTGGAGGTGGAGACTGGAGGCAGTGGTGGACCTATATTTGATGGTGAGAACGAGGACTGCGGACTGGGGGTTCAACCGGGAGGCAAAGGGTTCAACTTGGCGACGGAGGATTGTGCTTTGTGGGCCGTCGCGGGCACTGCATGCATGCATGCATCGCCGGAGGCGAGGCAGGCAGATCCGGATGGTTTCACCCGGCTGGAGGCACCGAGGCGTCTGGGACGCTCCACTCTACCTTAGGCTTAGCTCCTGAGGGGCGCGTGGTTGTAACCACGTAGTATTAGTACAACACGCAACCATGGCGATTAGTTGTAAAATCGGCGCGCCTAAAGAAGACCAGTCGCCCCCACAGCGCACAGGCGCCTGCCTCGTTTTCTTTCTGGCATTGTGCGCTCTCACGCCTCAGAGTCGAGCTCACATGTACGGCTCCACAGTTCTCACAGAGTTGTCTTAATAAATAAATAAACAAAGAGCTGGACAAATACCAAATTCCAACGGACCCACCTCTACTGTGAGATGGGTAAAAAGGAACAGGTCCCCGCCCTTGGGGCCTTGTGATCTTCGTGCAGCGGTTTTGTCTCTGCTCTGTCGTCTGTGCTCTCTCATGTCTGTGAACGGAACAACCTTAATTTAACACAGCAAGAAAAGACATGCACTCACAATAGAGTGCTAGAGCGCGGCTGCCCGGCGCGGCCGCCCGCCTTGCCGCCGCCGCGCGGCACGGGCAGCGCGACGCAGCGGTCGACGCGGCGAGTGGTGGGGTGGCCGTAGAAGCGGCGCGGCGGCGCGGCGGGCGGCGGCGTGCCCGCCGCCTCCGCCTCGAGGATTGGCGCGAGCCACTGCGGCGGCGGCTGACGGGTGGCCTCGCGCACGAGCCGGTACACGGCGGCGTCGTCCTCGGCGAGCCGCTTGCTGATGGGGGAGCCGCCGCGCAGCAGCCGCTCGAGCACCAGCCGCGCGGCCTTCCACGCCCACGGGGTGGCGTAGTAGAGCGCCGTGTCGAGCAGCCGCTTCGGCGAGAAGCGCTTCGCCGGGAAGGACGCCAGGTCGAGCGTGATGCGCACGTCGAGCCGCGTGCGCGCGCCGCCCTCGTTCCGCGGCGGCAGCGGCGTGAAGCGGCACTCGGCGCCCCCGAACGGCAGCTTGCGCACCTTGCGCGCCCAGGCGGGCAGCGCCGCGCCCGTGTCGGCGTGCTCCGACGCCGCGCGTGCGTACAGGCAGCCCTCGGCGGCGTCGGCGAATCGGTCCTCGACAACGACCGAGTAGTGGAGCAGCAGCGACGGCAGCGGCGGCATGCGCAGCCGGCAGAGCGCCTTCGCCGAGAGCACGCCGTCGGCGCCTCCCCTCGTCTGCAGGTCGAGGAAGCCGCCCTCTGCGGCGAGCGGGTTCCAGGACGGCAGCAGGTCCGCCTCTGCGAAGAGCGCAAAGACCTCGGCCGCGCCGTGAGGCGCCTCGGCGACCAGCCGGATCTCGTACTCGCAAGAGTCGGCGGCGGCGCGGCCAGCCTCGCCCGGCCGCTCCCGCACTACGCGCGTGTAGACCTGGAGGTGCGCATCAGTGCCGGCGTCGCACTCCCGCGAGAGAGCCCACCCGTGCGCCTCCGCCTCGGCGCGAGCCGCGTGCACGGCCGCCTCGTCGAGCGCGGCGACGGCGGCCGAGGCGGCGGTGCTCGGCCGGCGGCGGCGGAGCAGCAGCAGCAGCAGCAGGCCAAGCAGCAGCGTCGGCAGCGCCGCGGCGAAGAGGGCGGGAAGAGGCGGCGAGGAGGGCGGCGCCGGCGGGAGCTCGCGCGAGGGCCGCCAGGGCCGCCAGAATCGCGAGCGCAGCATGTCCCGTGAACCCAGGGCCTCCAGGGCTCGCACCTCAACCTCTCACGACCGGCATAGCATGTGAAAATAGAGAAAAACGGATGCGCCAAAAAGAGGGCTACACACGGCCCTCTACGCTGGGCGCAGAACATTTTTTTGCCCGCTGTGTTGGTCCGTGCCCGACAGTCCGAGCCGAGAGTATATTGACGAGGCCGCACATTAATGTCTCTCTTCGCCTCGCTCGGCGCCGCCACGCTCGAGTACAGCACGCGCGAGCGTCGCGCCGCGCTCCGCCGGCCGCTCAACCTCTGGGACTCGCACTCGCTGAGCGGCTCGAGCGAGGGCTGCCTCTCGCCACAGCATCGCGGCCAGTCCTCTTCCGACCGCGCATCGTCCGAAGACGGCGACGAGGTGCCGTCCAGCCCCGGAGAACCGCGCTCGTCGGTCGGCGACGTGCTCGGCCTCCTCGCGTCGCTGGAGCCGCTCCTCGCGCTGACGCACGCCCTCGCGCTGGAGCGGGGCACCACGACGGGGTGGGTCGCGAGCTGCGGCACGAAGCTGGCGCAGGCGGCGGCGACCCGTCGCGCCGTGACGGACGCCGCACTGGCGGCCGCGCCGGGCGACCACGCCAACCTCGCCGCTCTGCTCAGCCGCTGCCGCACCTCGGCGGACCGCGACGTCGCTGCGGCCAGCAAGGGTTCAACGAGCGCGGCCGAGGAGGGGGCGGCCTTTGTGGCGACGATGGGCGGGTACAACGCGCTGGCGTACCAGGCGCTGGCGGTGCTCTCCGAGCTCCCCGCGTGCGCCGCCGCCACCGCCGTCTCCGAGTTTGCGGCGCTCAAAGAGACGTTTGCGCAGATCCGCGGCTATGTGACGGGGGCGCTGCTGCTGCGCGACGCGGCGCTCGCGGCGGTGCACGGCCAAGTCAAGGGGAGCCTCGTCATAGCGTTTCACCGCCGCCGCGCGTACGCGCGCTCGATCCGCCACCAGACGCCGCGCCGGCTGCTGCGCCTGATCGGTGCGGGGCTCGAGCTGCCCGCGGGCTTGGCGCAGGTCACCCACGCGCGCTCCGGGCCTTGCACATTGAATGCCATGGGGGGCTCCTGTCTCTTAGACGTGGGGTCGCGAGGGGCTTGGAGGGCCGTTTTCGATTTGGTGCTAGCCCTGCTGACAATGGGGGTGTTCCTCGCCACGGCCCTCGCCCCGCCACCTCGTGTGTGTGGAGAAGTGCGCCTCACCCGGCCTGGCCCCGCGCAGGTCGTGCAGCGCCTCGAGGTGGAGTGCGACCTCGTGGCCCTGCGCGCCACCCTCAAGCCGCAGCAGTGGTGGGGTCTCGTCACCGCCCACATCGACAGCCTCGAGACAATGCAGCACCTGCTCCTGGGCGCGTGCGCGCGGACGGCGCAGCGACGCGCCGCCGCCGTCGCGCTCGGCGCCGGCGCGCCCGCCGCGCCGCTCTCCACCGGCCCGCGCGCCGCCTCGCCGCGCCGCCGCCCCTCCCTCCGCCAGCTCAGCGACGACGAGCCGTCGGCCGGCTCGGTTGGCTCTGTCGGCTCGACGTGCTCGGCGGGTTCGGGCCCGGCGTCGCCGCCCCGCGGCGGCCACCTTCCCCGCGCAGCCGACTCGTACACGCGCCTCTTTGGAAGCCCGGGCTACACCGACCCGCCCGCGCTGCACCGGCGCCCGAGCGACCCGCTCTGCCGGCCGGCCGGCGGCAGGCCGGCAGGAGGCGCGTCGGCCGCGCCCGCGACGCTGCTCCAAGCCGCCGCGCTGCTGACGCTCGGCCGCGCGGCGGTGCGCCACGGCGCCGACGGCGCGAACGAGCTCGCCTCGCGCCTGTCGCAGCTCCCCGCCCGGAGGCTCAAGGAGTCACTCCTCGCGCTGGTCGACGAGCGGATGGCGCGCCACTCCGCCTCGCCCTCGCCCAACGCGTCGCCCGTGGTGACGCGGCTGCACGGCGCCGCCGGCGCCGAAAACACGCCGCCCGCCTCGCCGCCCGCCTCGCCGCGGAAGTCGCCTCCGAAGCCGGCGCTGCCCGAGGCGGCGCTGCTGCAGCCGCCCGACGGCGCGCGGCTGATCGGCCTCTCGGAGATCCTCTTTGCGCACCGGATCGGCGAGGGCGGCGCCGGCGCCACCTACCTGGCGCAGTGGAACGGCGCGACCGTCGCTGTCAAGGTTGCCGGCGGCGTCTGCAAGTGGCTCGAGTCGTGGCGTGCCGAGGTGGCTGCGCTGACCGAGCTGCGCCACCCGAACGTGGTCGAATTCCTCGGCTGCGTGGTGGAGCCGCCCACGCACTGCCTCGTGCTGCAGTTCTGCGAGGGCGGAGACCTGTACGAGGCGCTCCGCAGGCCGACGCCCCCGGGGCTCGCCCTCAAGGTGGGGCGCGGCGTCGCGGCGGGGATGCTCTACCTGTGCCCCCCAGCCGCAGCCGCGTCGGCCACTGCTGGGGACGCGCCCACGACCACGTCTCCGCGGTTGCGTCCTAGGCACAAGAAGAACTACATCCACCGCGACCTCAAGTCGTCGAACGTGCTGCTCGACGCCTCGGGCACCGCCAAGCTGATGGATTTTGGGCTCTCTCGCCAGCTCGATGTCGACGCGGAGGCGAGAGGCCGCGAGAGGCCGCGAGAGGCCGCGAGAGACGCTCGCCCCTCGCCCCTCGCACCGGAGGGGGCCTCCTCACCGCACCCCCCCCTCTCCCCCCTCTCTCTCCCCCCCCTCTCTCCCCCCTCTCTCCCCCCCGCGACGCAGGAGCAGCTGACAGCCGAGACGGGCACCTACCGCTGGATGGCGCCCGAGGCGCTCTAAATGAACTATTGATCAACTACCAATTAACTATTAATTAACCGCTGGATGGCGCCCGAGGCGCTCCCGGCGAGAGCGGGCGTGACGCGCCCCCCCTAGCCACGCCGACGTCGGACACGAGCCTCGTCCGCAGGTGATCCGGCACGAGCCCCATATCTCCCCATATCTCCCCACATCTCCCCATATCTCGCCCTCAGGTGATCCGGCACGAGCCCTACTCCGCCTCCGCCGACGTCTTCTCGTACGCGATGCTCTGGTTCGAGCTCATCACCCACGAGGTGCCGCGTGTGCGTGTCCCGTGTCCTTCCGTTGGGGTGGGGGGACCGAGGGGCAGGTAAATCCCTCCCCCACGTGCCCCGGGCTTCGCACGGGGTGTGCTGGGGGGCTCCTGTCTGGGGGGGGGAGATGCGAGCCCCCCCCCCCCCCCTGCCCCCCCCCTGTGTGTGTGCGTGGAGAACTTCACCTCACCTTGCCTTAGGTGCCGTATGCCGACCGGCCGCCGCTGCAGGCGGCCGTCTGCACGGGGCTGCAGGGCTTGCGGCCGCCGCTACCCGCCGCGACGCCGCCCTCGGTCCGCTCGCTCATCGAGCGCTGCTGGGCGGCGCCCGAGGCGCGGCCCTCGTTCGCCGAGCTGGTGGCGCTGACGGGCGATCTGGAGCCGGCGCTCTCGCAGGAGGAGCGCGCCTGGCTCGACGCGCCGGCGGGGCACGCGGTGTCGTACGACGAGATGGCGCCGCCCAGGCCGGAGAACCAGCCGGGCGAGCGGCCGGCCGCTGCTTGCGGGGACGCTGGGGCGGCGTCGGAGGGCCCGCCGCCGCCGGCCGACTTG